TAGGGGAAGATGTTAACACGCAGAAACATTCAGGGTAGGTTGTAGTTAAAAAGTTAAGCACTGATAGAACCAAGGAATGGGACTAATAAAGCAAACAGGGCAGAACGTTAGAATGAGTCCAATCACTCTGCTCAGAGAGATGTGAGACATTATTACTTCTTTAAAAATAATCAAAATAATTTGGAAATTAAAAATGAAATCACTGAAATAAAAACAGTATAATAAACAAGCTGAATGGAAGAATGAATAGTTTAAGATGGACATGTTGAACAGGAAGACAGATCCGAGGAATGTGCCAGGATGCAGTACAAATGGCAAGTATGAAATAACACATGAAGGTCATGGAGGATTCTGAAGGTCTGTTGTGTTCTCATCTCACAGAAATTCTAGAAGGAAAGAGCAGCCAGCAAGAAAGGGGGTGGGGCGGGGGGGGGGGGGGGGACATAGAAGCCTATTCCCTGCAGCTGTAGACTGGGAGTCCACAGGTCCAAGGGGCCACAAATGATCCTGAGTGTCATGTGTTGGCAGCTGGGGTAGAAATAGACACGCTCACAGGTGGCTGCTGGGAAAGAACATTTGTCCAGACAGCCTCACAGTGCCCACTAACGGCTGAAAATCACAGACTCTTCAGGGAGCAATCCCAACCTGGCGCAATAGTCACATGTCACATAAATGAATGAAGCTAAACATTTTTAAAATGCTCATTATACTGTGGCAATACAAATGAAACACTGAAAATAATTTAAATATCCACCAGTATGAGAATGAGTAAATAACCATGGTTTCTTTTTACTATGAAACAATATGCAGTTTAAAAGAAAAACAGAAATATTTCTATGTACCAAAATGGAAAAATTCCCAAGAGATAATGTTAACTAAGCAAACCAAGTACAAAACAATATACGTAATTTATGTAAGCAAAACCAAACTACCTATTTATACTCTTTTTTATACTCTTTTTATACTCTCTTACTTTTTATACTCTTAAATGAGTATATACTCTTAAATGAGTTTTATACTCTTAAAATGAGTAAGATCAATGCTAAAAAATGTACACAACAGTAACAATCACTTAGAAAATGTAATAATCACAATATAAACCATTATAAAAATAAATAAAACCTTAGAATAAAGCCTCAGAATAGATCTAACAAGAATTGTGGAAGATCTATATGAATAAAAGTATAAAATTTTACTGAAGGACATAAAAGACCTGAGTTAAAGGAAACGGATACCATAACTCTGGAGGGGTAGATTTAGTATGAAGATGTCAATTCTTTCTAAAATAATCTATAAATTCTAGACCATCTCAATCAGAATCCCAGCATCATTTCTTTAATAGAATTTGCCTAGCTCATTCTAATATTCATTTGGAAAACAAAGTGAACCAGAAGAGTCAGAAAAGTTTTGGGAGATAATTGCATATTGGAAGGACTTGCCATACCAGCAGTCAGATATTCCACAAAGCTTCAGCGTGGTGCTGGGACAGTAACAGACAAGCTTAGAAGACGGTGGGAAGTGAGGACCCTTCAGTAACTGGTGTTAGGGCAACTGTTTATCCACCTAGGAAAAAACAGTTACGTCTCTACTTCACACCGTACCCCAAAATAAACGCCAAGGGAAATTTAAAAGGCAAAACTATAATAGAATTAGAAGAAAGTAAAGACATTTTTGTTTTAGTGGAAGGATGAGAATACCTTTGCATATAAGAAAATCCAGAAACCATAAAGGAAGAGACTGACAAATGTAACTGCAAAAACTGAATATTTTAAAAGTCCAAAGACACCATCCCCTCCACCCAGGATGTGTACAGATTGAACCCCCTGGGGCCAATTTCACTCCAGTCCAGGGGAGAAGAGACTGGGGACCACCATCCACTCAGACCCCTGCAGGGAGAGGGTGCACCTCGTAGAGATTGGGAAACCTGAGCAGGCAAAGGTTTGCTGCCAGGAATGATACTACCTGACGTTGCCACATCTCCCAGTTACACAGAGAAACTGTCCGAGAAAGAATGTGATCAGGGACCTGAAAGGCCCTTGGTTCCCGTAGCAACATCTCAGTGTCCTGAGACGTACAGGCTTCCTTCCCAGGGCCTTTTGTCGTTGGGAGGGCCCGCCCCTGCAGGTCACTCACAGGTCCGCGGCCCAGCCTCCCAGGCCTCGGATAGCTCCTTTGTTGTTGGGAGGGCCAGCTCTTGTCAGTCGCTTACGCCCAGCGGTACCTCCCGTCAGGCCTCCCATTGGCCCCTGCTGGGCTTAGGGAGGCTTTTCTTCAAGCCTTTGTCGATCCAGCCCGAGGAGCGCTTGTCTGTCAATTACAGTCCTTTCCCCGTCCTCTTGTCACTCAAAGCCACCGCCTACATGCATGCACCGCACGGACAAATCAACACAACTGCCCAGATCAGAACCGCGCCAAGAGCCATAATCTGCGTCGCTCGCGCCAGGTGGCTCGGGCCAGACCAAAACTTCCTAAAGGCTGCATGTGTCTGACGTCTCTAAGAGCTGAAAAAAACATCGCCAGCCCCACTCTTCACGTCCTTGAGAAGGGGCGCCCCTCCGGCCCGGACCCGTTGAGGGAATTGGTACACTTGGACGGACCCCAAATACAAAGTGGCAAGTGCCTAATATCACACAGTCATTGACCCCACAGAATCTCCACCACTGACGCACACATCCTGATTGATGACCCCACAGGTCCTGCCTTCACAGGTAGACTTCTCATTGATTCCACAGACATCCCATCACTGACACCGCAGATTCTCCCATCCCTGACTCCCATCTCTCACTCCACAGACCTATTAATAAGGGGACACATTCGTAGGAGACTGTGTGGATGGTTTTACAGATCCATTTAATGTACGTGTGTGCTGAAGAACCGGCTTAGGTAGATTTTAACACCTTGGTAGCCAATGCAATTTCTCTGCCTTTTCTTTTTCTTTTTTCTTACTGTGGTAGCATCTTTCAAGACCTCATCCCAGTAAGTATGGATTACAGTTTATTTATGCCTGTCCCGTATTGAATCTTTGTCATACATGTTTATTTTTAATCATAGAAGTCACAATTCTTATAATTCAGGGACATTAAAGACTCATAAGAATGACTGGGTTTTTATCTGTTCTTGGCTTCTGCAGATCACAAAGGTCTTTTATTTGTATCAGATCACTAAATATATATTTTGTTTCCGGAAACATTCTGATGAAAATCTTAGGAGTAAAATGCTTTGGGAACTAATGGCAAAACTCCAGTGAGATGTTGTTTCAGAAATTATGGTAGAATAAAATGGGTTTAGAGCATCTGAAATGACAGGAACTAAATCTTGATTTCTCGGTCAAGTGCAAAAATGTGGACTTTGGAGGAAATATTACATAAAAATACACACAGACATTGTTATTTCTTTTATTTAACAGTTTTGTTGAGATATAATTCACATACCATACAATTCACCCATTGAAAGTGTAAAATTAAATGGTTTTTAATATATTCAGAGTCGTGCAAACATCACCACAGTCAATTTCAGAACGTTTTCATTACTCTTAAAGAAATCCCATATCCTTTAGCAGTCACCCTTCTATTTGCCCCCAACTCCCCCTCCCCTGCAACCACTAATCTTTCTGTCTCTATCTATTGGTCTACTCTGGACATTTCATATAAATGAAATCACATGATATGTGGTCTTTTGTGACCGGCTTCTTTTACTAATGAAATCATTAGCATAATGTTTCCAAGGTTTATTCATGTTATAGCATGTATCAATACTTCATTCCTTTTTATTGCTGTGTAGTATCCAATTATATGGATAAACCACATTTTACTTATCTGTGCTCTGCTGGTGAGCATTGGGTTGTTTCCACTTTGGAGCTATTATGAATGCAAAGAACATTCATGTACAAGTTTCTGTGTAGACATATGGTTTCATTTCTCTTGAGTATTTACCTGAGTGGGATTGCTGAGCCACTATTTCTCTCTCTTTTTTTTTTTTCTGGGAAAGATTCGCCCTGAGCTAACATCTGTTGCCAATCTTACTCTTTTTATGCAAGCGGCTGCCACAGCACGACTACTGACAGACCAGTGGTGTGCTTCTGTGCTGGGGAGCTGAACCTGGGCCCCTGAAGCAGAACCCACCGAACTGTAACGGCTAAGCCATGACTTCTTGAGGCACCCATTTTCTGGGGCAAGCAGTTTGATTTCGGCACCTTAGAAGGCACTGAGGTGGATAAACTGGGATGTGGGTCTGTCAGTCCCTAGTGCTGGCAGGGGATGTGACCTGCATTTAATCTTACATGTGTGGAGGGGGCACTGTACGTACAATAAACCTAAGGGGGTTTATTGATTGATTTTGAAATTCTGCCTAATATTGTAAAGAAGACAGAAATGTTTGGATTCAAATACAGGAAAAATATATTCGGGTTAAAATTCTCAGTTTTCATCAGTTTGTAATGTGGGGTTCTACAGTGAACAATGGCAAGACTTTTATGCATATTTTCTGCATAATACCGTTCTTGTATTTGGGGAACAGTTGCGGAGTGGAAGGATGTGGCTCTGAACTCTATGAACTCACTGAAGGGGCCCGTGGGTCCCTGGGGAACCCAACAAAAAAATGCAAGAGGGCCATAGAAATTTTGAAACGAAAATTTTAAAATGTTCTCTTCAGAGAGAATTCCAGATCCCCACACAAAATGGAGTTTGCTGAAATTAAACCAGTGGGTCGCGGTTGCCTGTAAGCCTAGCGCTGCTCTTGGAACTGAGGCAGACGGTACAACGTTGAAATACCTGCAAACCCTGCGACTTCACTGACAAGTCACTTGAATTAAACCCAAGGCCCTGCTGCCTGCCCGCTCTGTGCTCCGATTGTTGGTTAGAAACGTGCCGCTCGCCCCCGAGCGCGGTTTTGCAAAGAAGGGCGGGCCCTCCACCGAAAGCGTATGTTTGAATTCAAGTATTAATGTCTCCCCTGTCCATTTCCTTTATTTTATTAATTATGATTACCTCATTGATAATGAGACCGGCTGTGTGGAAAGTCGGGTCTCGGTGTAGACAAGGTCGTAACACATGGACAAGGCCGGAAGGTCTCCAAGGCCCGGTACAAATCTCCGAGATGCAGCCAACCGCGCGAAAAGCGACTGCAAAGTCCGACGCAGGCGCGCAGCCGTTCTCTTGCCGCGACCCGCAAAAACCAGTTTATTATTGTTTGTAGGCGGGTCGGCCGCAAACGCTTCTTATTGGCCAATGTGAGAAACGGCCCCCTCCCTTACGCATCTATTGGCTAAGAGCTCTGTCCCTATTTGAGGATCGTCCTTCTTCCCTCCCCCCTCTGCGTTGCCTGGAAACGGAGTCCTGCCTATCAACAGCTGCTCGTGTTTTCCATTGGCCACCTTCTCCGGAAGCCCGCCCCCACACGAAGCCTCCGGCGAACCGCGGGCGGGCAGAGGCGGTCCGGGCAGCGAGCGCTCGGCGTCGCTCTGCAGCTTGGTATTGTCCTGGCGAGAGTCCTCCAGGACTGTCGGGCGCGGCTGGCACCTCGGTCCTCGCGACGGCGGGAACCGGGACTCGGGCTCTGAACCCGAGTGGTGACCGAGGAGCCGGGCCCGGCTCTCCCGGTTGCACGCGGCTGGGTGGACGCCCGCGCGGGGCTCATGCGCGCGGGTTCCCGACTCCGACCCGCGGGGGGTCGGTACTGAAGGTCAAAACCGGGACTTTTCAGCCTATCCAGGCAAAACGCCCTTTTATTTTTTCCGCAGATGTATTTTACAGAACGCCCTGCGAGAGGGGTTGACCGACGGGTTCAGGTTTATGAAATAAAATAAATTACTGGTTTAGGCTGTGTTAGTAATAGTATTGAGCCCCAAGCTTTTTAAAATCCCTTTCGTGCCCGCCTGTATTATTTAGTGGAATGTCTGAGATAAGGACAGTCGGTTATAGTGGCTTTGGAATTTTTTTTCGTTGTTAAGACCAATTTTTAGTCTTGGTTCTAACAACTTCTCATGCTTCGTAAAATGTTATTTGAGAAATTGCTGTGAAAGGCGCAGCAAGTTACTTTGAATTTTTTTTTTTCTTTTAAAGGAAAGTAAGTTCCTGATTTTGATATATTAATTTTGGTTATAATTCCCAAATTCCTTTAAAATCTTATGTTTTGGCAGTTATATAGAGAGTGGCTTTTGTGAAAGGAACAGCCAGTTAAAGAGGTTTCGGGATTTTGTTTGAAAAATATAATCCTTGTTTTGACTCTTTTAATAACGGTAATAACTACCTTCCCAGTGCCTTTAAAATGTGATTTGGTGGATCTCTATCTTCACAGGATTTATTTCATAGGTTTGGATGAGAGACCTCATGTGGGCTTCAGGTCCTCATCTTCATGAGGTGAGGAGATTTGGGGGTTTATAAAGCAACCCCCACACTCTTCATGGCCTTTTCCTTAATTCTCAGCATCCCTGTACTCCTGACATTGTACCTAAAATTAAGCTAAGTTTTTGTTATGTGAGAGCCGTGGTAATATCCGGCATTAACCACTAATGTTTCCTCCTGATATTTCTCCACATCTTCATACTGAATCCTTTACTCAAATTGGTGTCCCCTTTTCTGGGTGTCTGGAAACCATGACTGGATATCTCTCTGACGTCCCTGCTGAGCTATCATTCTTTTCTTTCCTCTCTCTTGTCCAAACTTGAGTTAGTGAGTGTCAGCTGCTTCACGACCAGCCTTGACCCTGCTGACTCTCTCTAACTCATAGGTTCTTACTCCCAGCTCCATGGGCTATGAGTTCTTACTAACCCTCAGTTCCATGAGCCACCTTGTAGGGGTCCATGAGAAATTCCCATCTAAATTTTCATTTTTCTCTCACTGAAATGGAGTGTTTCCTTCCATCCTGAACGTAGGACCCCCCAGGGATGAGGCTTTGTTAGCAGTGGAGTCCAGAGCAGTTTTTATCTCATATTACAGCATCTCCAAATAGCCACTGTGGTTGTCATTGGTTCCCAATGACAGTTCTTAATGATGGCCTGCCACTCGATATTGGTACTAATGTGTTAAAGTGACTGTTTTAGGAACTATTACTGCATAAGAAATTAAGCAAAATTTTGTGGCTCAAGCAACCATTTTGTTATGCTCATGGATTCCGTAGGGTCAGGAATTCAGACAGGGCACAAACGTGGCCAGCTTATCTCTGTTCCACAATGCCTGTGGCCTCAGCAGGGAAGACGCAACAGCTAGAGGCTGGAACCATGTGGAGGCTCATTCCCTCGTGCCTGGTGCCTCGGCTGGGATGCGTGGAAGCCTGGACTCAGCTGCGCCAGTCCGGCAGGGTGCCTGCACGTGCCTTCTCCATATGGCCTTGGCGTCCCTGAGCACGGCAGTCTCAGGGTAGTCGGACTTACCTGGCACAGGGCTCCAAAGGGAAGTGTTGCAGTGATCAAGGGGAAGCTACTTCAGCCTTGTAAGTTACCGAGAATCCCTTCAACTGTACTCTACTCCGTTACAAACAACAAGTCCACTCAGGATGAAGGGGACAGAACATAGACTCCACCTCTCAGTGGGAGGAGTGTCAAGCAATGTGCAGCCTTTTTTTTTTTAAACTGCTACAGTGGCACATCTATTTATCAAACATTTTTAGAAATATTGGCGTGACTGCATTTCTGTGTTGTTTGAAATCCCATGCCTTTATTTCATGTATTTTATAGCAATATTCTGAGACGGGTTCAAGGACTGTCAGATGTAAAAAGGGTCTGAAACATAGAACTGGCTCAGGCCCCCTCCGGAGATTTGAGGTGCCCAGTTTCTGCCCTGGTTTATTGGTTAGCATAGGACTTTCTCATTTGTCTTGGACTCAGCAGTGTTTTAGAAATTGATCTTTTTTTTGCTCTGATTTCTTTCTGTTTGTGCTTATCGTTTTCTCACCTCAGCAGAGGTTAGGAGCGTCTTTCCCAGCCCTGTTCTTCTGTCTTGGATGTATCTGAAGGCAAGTTGTAAGTCAGACTTGGGACTCATTTTGCTGGTTTTGCCAAGTGGCATTTTCTCTGACCGTTCATCACTTTAGAAGTGTGCTTACTTTCCTGAGTTTTCATTTTCTTCTATCATGTCTAGCTCACAGAGCAAATACCAACCAAAAAGAGTAACTTGAGGGATGTGGAGAGAGACTTTCTTTGCACTTTACTAAGTGAGGTTGATTTTTTGTCACTGAGCATCAGGCACAGGCCTGGGAGGCCAACAGCCTCATTCAAATCCCAGATCCAGCCTTTGTTTACCAGCTGTCTGACCTTGAACCCACAAGGGAACTTCTCTGTGCCTCTGATTCGTCGTGGGGAAAACGGTGGTATCCAGAGTGGCTGGCTGCCAGCTCACATTGATGACTCCGGGGCAGTGCCTGGCCTTCATCTGGTCCTTGCTGCTCCAGCCTTTGCCCTGTTAATTGAAGGAATGCTGCCATAACCACTTCCTGGAGGTATAGCTGGCATTTACTCCCCTAACAGTTTACAGAGAAGCCCTTTTATGTTTTCAGTCTCTTCCTCTGCTTTCTGTCCTTCCTGACCCACCTCACTCAGCGTGGTGTGATCTTAATTGTGTGCGTTTGCACAGGTGTAATTTTGGATTACATGTCTCCTCAAAGCCTGATTGCCGCCCCCGCCCCCCACCTCTACCAGGATGTGCAGTTTTCTCAGAACCCACTCCCAGCCCAGCCCAACTGCAGCTTTATTGTGTAAACATTTCATGGTGGGCATCCCTTCCTGACTGTGTGTGATAGTAAACTATCTTGGGTTACCGTGCTACACGTGTGTCACCTCCTGGTGTGCCGCCCCACTGGGGAAGCTCAGTGCTTCTCCATGCACAGCATACTGATTTTAGTTGAGACATCCAGTCTATATGGCACCTGCTGGTTTGTGTGTGACCCGATGTCATGGTGATAATAGAGATAATGACCCTAACTGTTTAAAATCCTTCACCTTGTGGCTAGGTAACTGGGAGATGGTATGTGTATTATAGCCTGTGTGTTAGTCTTAGTCACCTCTGATGGTTTTGTTAATTTTTACATAAACAATTGAGAACGTTTTAATAACTAGAGAAAATAGGGAAACCACTAATCACTCTGAAATCCTCCCATTTCTTGGTCTAGAATTGGGACTGGACCCCCAGCAGCGAGGAGCCTTGAAGGCTGGAGAGAAAGAGTAAGCAATCCCTTTCAGCTTCTCCGCTGTCTTTCTCCCCATTTTCTTCCCCTTTATTTTGTTCACTTCGTTTTAAGGGGTTATAATTGGCTTCTTCAGACCCCAGGATAGAAAATGACCCATCTGAAGACCTCAGGCTCCAGCCATTTCACAAGAGCTATCTGGTTTTGTTTGTATGTTTGTTTTATGATTTATGTTTGTTTGATTTATGATGCCAGGTTTCCATCATGGATCTCTCCTGAGGGAATATTCCAGATTTCCTGAGTCGTTTCCAGGTCGAGGTCCTGTATGCCTCTTCTGTTCTCAGGACCAGTTCCTGTCAGAGTGGGAAGACCTGATCTTGGATATTTGGTTTTGATCCTTTGTGAAAAGCTGTAAAGACAAATTTCCACCCCTAGCTGTAAAGAACTCTTGGTGGGAAATTATAATTCCTTTAGGGAGATTAAAATCTCATTTGGATTACCCTAAATCCGAGTTTTGGTTGTTAGAATTTTCTTTAATGTTCATGAGAAAGTATCTTATATTTCCCATGAAGATTCATTCTCCTTAGCAGTGAATTTTGAACTTTGTTTTCTTAAATGTCCAAATTAGATTTTCCCAAGTTTTCTCTCTCTTACTGATTTCTCACTTAGCATCAGAGGTAACTTTTAAGCAAAAAGGGCATAGCAGAGAGATGACAGTGGAGGGCACCTTCAACACCATTGTGGAGATGAGGTTCCTGCTCCAAAAAGAAACATTCTCACAATCTCAGCTTATTCATGGGGAGCTTCAATTCTTTTACAGTTGGTACTTTTATGGGGTGGGGTGGGGTGGGGGAGGTGGAGCGGTGGGACTCTCTCCTTAGCAGCCATTTTTATTTTTTTTAGGTATGCTTTTTTTCGGTGAGGAAGATTGGCTCTGAGGCTAACATCTGTTGCCAATCTTCCTCTTTTTTTTCCCTCCCCAAAATCCCAGTACATAGTTGTATATCCTAGTTGTAAGTCATTCTAGTTCTTCTATGTGGGACACCACCACAGCATGGCCTGATGAGTGGTGTGTAGGTCCTCGATCCAAACCTGTGAACCCTGGGCCACCAAAGCAGAGCACGCAAACTTAATTACTCAGTCAAGGGGCCAGCCCCAGCAGCCAGTTTTGATGTTGGGTATTTATGTATCATTTGCTCCTTAGTATTTCTCATTTCTACTATGATTTGTTCTGTGAGCCGTCAGTGATTTAACAGTATCGCTTAAAAATTTTTATAAAACTAAGTAGTTTTGTATGTCAGCCCTGCACCTACTCGTGTCACCCATGCCCCCCTCCTGCTCTGTGTAGATGGGGGCGTGTTTACACTTTAATCTCTCCTGTGTCCCCCACTGTCAGCAACTGAAGGTACGAAGGTACTCACCAGGGGTGTCTGTCACTTCCCTCCCTCCACCTCTACTGTGGTCCCCAAGTTCCTACCTCCCTAGAGACTCTTCTTTCCAGAGTGGTGCTTTTCAATAGAAATATAATGTGAGATACATATGAAATGTTAAATTTTCTAGTAGCCACTTTAGAGAAATTAAAAAGAAACAGCTGAGGGGCCAGTTCCATGGCTGAGTGGTTAAGCTTGCGTGCTCTGCTTCGGCAGCCCAGGGTTTCACTGGCTCGGATCCTGGGCGTGGACATGGCACTGCTCATCAGGCCATGCTGAGGCAGCGTCCCACATAGCACAACCAGAGGCACTCACAACTAGAATATATACAACTATGTACTGGGGGGCTTTGGGGAGAAGAAGAAGGAAAACAAAACTTGGCAACAGTTGTTAGGTACCACTCTTTAGAGGAAAAAAAAGAAACAGGTGAAATAATCTTAATAATATAGTTAACCCAATATATCCAAAATATTTCAACATTTAATCAACATAAAAGTTATTAATGAGTTAATTGGCATTCTTTTTTTCATACTGTGTCTTCAAAATCTAGAATGTGTTTTCTACTTACGGCGTATCTCCATTTGGCCTTGCTGTATTTCAAATGCTCAGGGCCACATGTGATGGGTGGCTGCCTTCCAGGACAGCACAGCTCTAGAGAATGATTTTAGGTACACACTCCATCTCTCTTGATGCCCCCTTTATTCTCATCGACCCCCACACCCTTGGAGTCTGACTACTGCCTCCCTCTCTCCTCTCTTTCCATTAGTCATGTTCTTTTTCTAACATGGAGAATCATTTCCAATTTCTTGACATTCTGACCTGATTTCTTCTGTCTTACATTCCTTTAAGGGCCACAGTTTTCTTCTAAACCCCTTTTCAGCCTTTTCGCATGAGGTGACAATTTTTTTTGTCTTGGTCGGGCATTTATTCGCAGTCACCACCTAATGATTATTTTCTTTCACCCATTAGTTGTGACACTTCCCATTTTTTTCACGTTATCTGTCTTGATGGATCTCCAAATTAATTTTAGAGTTAGCGAAACTAGAAAGCATAAATTTAGAGGTGTATATAGCACCCCTTATGTTTCTGCCGGGAGCCGAGCCCACAGCCGCCGGTCCCGACCCTGGTTGCTGCTCGGGAAGGACGCACGGGGAGGAGATCTGGCATCCACGCCGCCCGAGGTTGGCGCGCACGGTCTGGCCTCCCGCCGCTGCAACACCGGCTGGGCGCCAGGACCACATTTCCCAGAATCCTCGGGTGTGTCTGCGGCGCTCTCGGTGTCCACAGACCTCAGTAGCCTTCGGAGGAGAAGCTTGTGAACCTCGCGGTCTGGGCATCTTCACCATGAACTCCTAAACTTGCTTGTATGAGAGGCGCAAAGTCACCCTGCCTCGGCGAGGCCAACTCACCCACCTCCCCTCTACCTCCAAAACTACATTCTCCAGACGCCTCTGCGGCCACTTCCGTCCTCCTTCACGCTCGCCCCTCAGCGTGTGGCGTTGACGTACAGGAGCACTTCCGCTCGGTGGGTCCCGCCCGTAAGGCTGGTTGGCGGCGCCGTGAGCCTGCCAGTCTGGGTCCTTTTAATGCTTCTGCGCTTGGTTCCCCCGGCTTCAGCCTCAGGATTGGCAGCGTGCGCCCAGCGTTCCGTGAGTGCCCTGTAGTCGTAGCCTCATCCAGTTAGCACATCGCTCTGCTCGTCCCAGTTTTACTCACGGGTACGCAGGCTGAGAGGCGGAGCTGCCTCTGAACTCGCGGGCGCTCTCCTGTAGGCACCGCCAGGCCATTTGCCTTTCATTCCAGCCCGCAGAGTTAGAGACAGACCCTAAGTCAGCTGCTGGGGAGCATGGGCTTCACTCCCTGCCCGGAGCTTGGGCCTGAGCTGGAGGATGCTTGATCACCCTGCGTCCTTTTTTTTCAGGGCCTGGGTGGGAATTGGGTTGTGCTGGTGGTTTCTGTGACCCTCCCAGCCTCCAGTTGTGGGGCTCTGGAGCAGACCCCGCTTTAACTCGTGGGGAGAGGGTTTCCACTTAGGCGCTTTCTCATTTCTCTTCACGTCCCCAGATCTGTCTTCTGAGACTTTGCCCTTCTCCAGGGAGAGCACTCAGGAGACCGGGAAAATGGCCACGGGGCTCCTGAAAGCCAAAAAAGAGGTGAGGATTTCCTGTAAATTCCATCTTGGCTGTCAACAGGATGGATCCATTCCCTTTTCTTGCTCTGGAGGCTGCCTTGTTGGTATTGGGCAAAGTCCACTCCTGGTCCTGGAGGGGCGGCTCATCTTACAAGGAGTCCTTCCTCAGCATTCCTGTCTGCTCTATCCATGCCACAGTCATCCACGAAGTAAATTGTGAACATCATACATGAAGCAGTTTAAATAAAAATACAGGGACGTCCATGCTTAATTGTCCAGTGATAAGGATGAAGGGCAGGAGCAGCAGAGATGCCTGAAGTGGTTGGGAAGGGCTTCCAGGAGAAGTAGGGCTGTCTGAGCTGCCCCTGAGGGTTTGGTAAGTTGGAGAGTTGGCAGAAGACATACCAGTGAGAAGAGGGCAGGAGGTGTGGTGAGTCTTAGAAGCTGGGCCGTTGGGCACTGCCCTTGGCCACAGTGTGGGAGGATTTTAGTGGCCATTAGACTTACATAAGGTTGATTTTTAAATATGTACAGGTGAAGATACAGACTAGTTGTCCACACATGGAACAGAGAGGAGTTTGATATGGTTTGACCTTAATTTTACACTTGAGAGCATTTTCAGCGTTTGGCAATGGGGAGCTTTCTCCCAAAATTACAGATTTCCTGCTTCTCTGAAAATAAGTCTGCAGTGTGCTCTGGTGTCAGGGAATTTGAGCTGAAAGTGTCTTCATCATTTGGACAAGTCCTGCAGAGTCTGTTTTGCTGCATTTACTACAGTATCCTCCATACTGAGATTGAAACCATTGACCAGCTAACGTTTTCCCTGCCTCTTCCATACTTATTACCTACCTGGCCCCTGAAGGATTTTCATTTCCCACCTCTGAGTCTGGGTGGCCAGACTGTGGAGTGTAGGCTTTGTCTTTGAGTAAGCTGAGTTTTAGAGGATGTTGAGAAGGGATTTGACATAAGGAAATCAATGAAATGGGCTTATAGGGACTTAAGGGGAAACTTTCTAACCCCTGAGAATGGCGATTATGGTGACCTTCACTTAGTTGAATGCAATTAACATTTATTGAGCACCAACACACAGTCAATAGGTTGGGTTACTGTCACATTTGATATGGGTTAACTTGGTTATTTCAGGTCTGCCTTGACTGTCCTTATCAACAAATCAGAGTAGAATTTAGACAGAAAAAGAGATCTTGATTTATTCTTAAATCCTGGTCTCCCGTGATGGAGATTTATAATTTCCTGGATGTTATCAGAACTGTGAGGGTTGTGTGTTTCTCATTTGTAAAATAGTTCATTCATTTGAAAGTACCAAGAATGCATAAGAAATCCAATTCAGGACATTTCCCAAGGTAACATTGAATCTTTTGTGTGTACTTTTTTCACTGCTCATACTGTTAATAGGGAAGCATTCTGATTTTCTCAGAAAAGCTAGAAGTTTGTGTCAGCTGACTTTTCCTGCCCCTAATACTTTTCAGAAAAACTGATCAAAGGGCACAAGCATTTGAATGGATAAGTTGTTTAAAATGAGACCTCTGTGCCTCGAGGAGTAACTGGCACACATGAAATGTTTGGTGCATGAAGGAACCACAACGTTAAATAAATTAATTTGAAGGAACTAAGTAACAAAGGAGTTTCTGTTGTTTGTTTTGGTGTGTTATTTGGGGCATAAAATTAACCACGTATTTCAGCGGGTTTGAGTGGAATTTCCAGGAACTCATACGTATGACATCTGAATTATACAAAACAATCTGGGCAAATACACAGTAGGACATTAGGTATCACTGGCAAGGACCTTTGCCTGAGAGGAGAAATTAGAATTTGTGACAAATGAGATGGATTAGCACATGATGTTACTAACGTTAAGCATTTTTTCATAGATTCTGCTGAACAGATTTGCTGAATGTCTGCCGTGTGCAGAACACAATAGACTACAGTCAGTGATGTGTAAAGTACGGCCTGCACACTTCTGAGTCTTCCGTTTTATTTTGGGATTCCTTTATCACTGGGATTTGATTTCATTTATACACATACACACACACACCCCTACCTACATGCATTTTGACAAACCTTAATGATAAAATCATAGTGTACTAAAGCTAGTGACAGTGTATCTTCCGAGACCCATTTTTATAGATGAAGGAACAGCCAACACTCATCCCACCAGAAGTAATTTCTGTAACAGTCCATTGAATGGATTAAATATTTCCCAAACGTTTAACTTGTTCCCAACATTTAACTGTTGTAAAATAATGCTTCTATGATCAACTTTGTGCAAGAAATTCTTTTATAGATTTGTTTTTATTCTTCAAACAAAAATATGACATGCTAAATAGCAATGACCGTTTACCTGCTGGAGCTTTGAACCCTGCCTGTTCTCAAACATTTAATCCTATCAATTATTTCTTCCTTTTCTGAGACTCCCTTTTTCCCTCACGATGTCTTTGCTTCACACTCTGCAGGTTTTTTGTTTTTGTTTTTATTGTTACATTGTGCAGTTGTACATTCCCAAGGCAGACCTGCCAGTGCAGATCTTTTTTCTTCTTTCTTGTGAATGTTCACAATAGTGTCTTGGTTTGTTTTCACATGTTGACATGGTCCTTTGCTACCCATTGTATGTTTCTGTAATCCTCATTTTCCCCAAACATTATGGTAACATCACTTTTCTGTTCAGAAGATTTCAGTGGCTCATGACAGTGTGTTAGATATTTAGGACAGTCCTCATTCCAAATGTGTTGTCCTGGTGTCTGACATCATGTCCTGATTATTCATTCAGAAAGTATGTTTATTGCTACCACATCAGAGTCATCTCATATACACCTTTGACTTAGATAAATTGCCTTTCTAGGCACTCAGCTGGAAAAAGGGAGAAAAATAACTATTCTGGTTGTTCGCATGAATCTGTCTTCTTTCCCATCTAATGGCTTCATGCCCGTAAGTGAGAAATGGGAGGAATGAACCTATTGCTCTCTAAATCTATCTTAGGAGTTTCTGACTGCATGAGCAACTTAGCAAGTCAAGGGTGATATTATTGCAAAGCATTTTTCATGTAACATGACTTCTTTATCAGTGTATCAGTTAGGCTTTGCTGCATAATAAAGCACCCCAAAATTTATTGACTTAAGGCAAAATCACTTATTAGCACACAGTTTGGTAGGTCAGCATTTAGAGCTGGGCACAGATGGGTGTTTTGTGGGGTTCACCTGGCCTTGCTCATGTTGCTGCAGTCAGCTGACAGTTTGACTGGAGCTAGATGACCATCCATCCATGACTTTACCAAGCTGCTTGACTAGGGTACTTTAGTTCTTCTTGGTTCTTTTCCATGTGGGCTTGGGCTTGATCAAATGATAGTCTTGGGTTTCTCTATACAGCAAGAGAGGACAACCCTATCGAACAAACACTTTTTAAGCCCCAGCTTGTGTCATGTTTGTTAGTGTCCCTTTGACCACAGCAAGTCTCATGGCCAAGTCCAGAGTTGTTGTGGAAGGGGATAACACAAGGGTATTGATACAGGGACACAGGATTCATTGGGGTTCATTACTGTAACCACCCTCTGATCCCAGTGATTCATATCCTCCCCATGTGCAAGATAAACTCACCCCTCCCCCAGGATCCCCAAAAGTTTCATCACAGACTCAAAGCCCAGTATCTTATGTATATCAGTCTGGATGTGGCTAAGGCTTCTTCACTGAAACTCCTTTAAGTCGGAAACCTGTATACTGAAAAGACAAGTCATTTGTTTCCCTCTACCCCCAGCCACCCACCTAATATGCGGTGGTGAGACGGGGACAGGAAAACTGCAATAGACACACCCATTCAAAAAGGGGAGGAATTGGAGACACATAGGAGGCCTCTTCAGTTTGAAATGTCTCTAGCCCTTTTAGTCAAGTTGATAAAATTTCTTTAAAGACTCTTTGGGTTTCCCATGTATCGGATTATCAGACCACTCTATTAAACAAAAATTATAACCACAATTCTTTTCCAGATAGGCCTCTCAGCTTTGGTCAGGGTGTCAGTGCTGTGAGATAATACCTGTAAGAATCTTGAATCCCTTTTGTCTAGTTTAGAGTCTCCTAGACATCAGCTTAAACTTTCAGAGGTCCTAAAGTTTGGGTCTTTCAGCCAAACTTGATCTTTACCCTGAGGCCGTTTCTTATTTTGAGACTTCTGCTGGCTGGAGAGACTGGAGATATAAAACAGTTTTATTTTCCAACCCAGCAAGTCCTAGCTTGTCTGTATTTCCTCTAAATTAGGCTTGCAAACTCCGGAGTTGCTTCTTTAGCTCTTCTCTTTCTATACGTTATCTTATTTAGTTAGAAGCATCTGTCTGAAACTCTTAACAGGCTTTCCAGAGATCTCTTTAGCCAGATCTGAAAATTCACTACGTATTTTTCTATTTTCCAAGTTAGTGCAGGTGGTAGTTTTGCTAATACATAGCATGTGTTGTCTTTTTTAAGCTGCCAGAGTGGTTTCCTCACTGCTTTTCTGGCTTCTGCTAACAGTTTCCTAGATGCTTTCCCAGCCTCTGTGCATGTCCTGTTCCCAAAGCTAATGCCACATGTTATAGGTATATGTTATGACAGCACTTTATTTCTGTGTACCAATTTAGTGGCTTAAATCACGTATTGGTTCATAGTCATGTGGGTCAGCGATTCATCTTGGCACAGCTGAATGGTTCTGTTGATTTACCTGGGCTTACTCATGTGGCTGTAGTCAGCTGGCTGCTCAGCTGGAGCTGGATGATCTCACCTGTCTGGTGGTTGAGAGGCTGGTTAGCTGAGGTACCTTGTTTCTTGGTTCTCTGTGGCCTCTTCAGCAGGCAAGCTCAGTTTGTTTACATGGTGGCCTCAAGGTTTCCTGCACAGAAAGAAAGCCAGCCAGCCCCAAACCCAAATGCCTTTTAAACCTCTGCATCATGTTTGCTAATGTCCCATAAGATAAAGGATGTCGTATGGTCAAGCCTAGAGATAGTTTAGGAGGAGAACTCATAAAGGGTAGAAACAGGGAGGCATGGTTCACTGGGGGCCATCAATTATAACAATCCACCAGTCAATTAGGATGCTCTGGGCTGCAAGCAGCAGGAAACTCCATTTAGACTGTTCTAAACACTAAGTAACTTAGCTCACATGAAAGGAAGTCCAGAGCCAGGACACGCTTTGGGGTTGGTCCTCTACCGTCATAAGCGTGTCAACGGCTGGGGCTCTTAGATTCCTCCACTCAACTCTGCTCTTCACAGTGTCAGCCTCACCCAGGCTGGTTCCCCTCAGAGGCATAGGATGTTTACCAATAGCAACTTTGTTTAATTCTCAGAACAACCCCAAAAGGTAAGTACTATTATAATATCCATTTTATGGAAAATTGAGACAGAGATGTTAAGTTATTGATGCGAAGTCATAGGAGGAGGGCTGTCATTTGAACAGTTTGTCTCCAGAGTGTGCTTTTAGCCACTGAGTAGTTCTCAGACTTTACTGTGACTCAGAATCACCTGGAAGGCTTGTTAAAACAGCTTGCTTTGCCCCACCCCCAGAATTTCCGATTCATTGGTTCTAGGATGGGGCCTGGGAATTTGTATTTCAAACAAGTTCCCAAGGGATCTGGTGTTATGGGTTCAGGGACCACACTGAAAGCCAGTGCACTAGGCTATGCTGCTGCTTTTGCGTAACCTGTGCCTGTGTTTATGAGCATCAGGAAAAGTATTGGCTTCCCATTATTCCATCTTAAAAATGAAGAAGTCTTCTGCTGGAATCCTACAGCAGGCTTCTTGTGGCTTGCTGGTTAGCGTCAGCTGTAGATCCATTCTTCAGCTGGCAGGGGGATGGGTTATTTGTACGTCAGTCAGGCCTCCCTTTGACTTGACTTTAGTTCCCCACGCCGTGTTGCTCCCCAGTGGAGAAGTTTGGAATGGATCACGGTGAGTCATCCATTTAGTGTTTACCCTACCACCTACATGCATGGTTCTCATACAAAGACACCATTAATTTTTCCAGGGCTGCAGGAATACCAGTTGTGTTAAACTTGTTGAAATAACGTAGGATGGTCTCTAATGTAGCTTCTTTGTCAGGGGTTTTCAAGGGGATGTGTGTGTGTGCGCGCGCGCACACGCACACCCGCGCACATTCATTCTGAGAAGGGTTGTAAAATCTAATCACCACAGGGACTAGGCAAATACCTGAATGAGTGAATAGTCTTTCCTCTTCAATATTTAGCTATGAACAGTTTCAAACCTATAGAAAAAATACAAAGACTTGTATGTTGATACTCACATATCTGCCTTCTACCTAGATTCAACAATGGATGTTTTGCTACATGTGCTTTCTACCATCAATTCAAGGGTAGTACTCAAATATTGCCTTAAATGCACAGTAAAGCATAGAGTTTTATGTTCGTTTGGCTTTTCAAACCCTCTGTAGGCTGCACAACCTGCCTGCTGTCTTTTCCAGCGAGCCAGTTTTCATTCCTTATTCCCTCCCATCCCACGTGCCTTGTCTGGATTGCCTAGCCCTCTTCTCTCTGATCCTTTGAAATCCTGCCTGCCTTTTCAGACTAAGATCATACCTCCCTTTCGTGAAACCTGCCCTGATCTGTCTGTCCCTCAGTAAGCTCCCTCTTGAGGTCCTCCGGCCCCGTGATTCACAACCATGACTATACTTAGGAGCCGTTAAGAGTATGAAAGCCCTATCCCCGGAGTCTGATTTTATTGATTTGGAGTGGGACCCAGGAATCCATAATTTAAAACACCACACAGTTAGCTCTAAAGTACAGCCAGGGATGAGGGATAAGAACCACAACTCTCACTTGTCCTGTCTGTGCTCTTTGTGATTAATGACATGGGGGCAGGCTGGGTTCTAGAACTGCTATTACTATAGGTGGAGAGGGGCCCTAAAGTGGGGTAGTGTCTTAAGGCCATTTCACAGCCCAGCCCCACTGGAGAACAGCTGAGCTGGTACGGGACAGGAAATTGAGGGGAGGGTCTCCTGAGAAGGTAAGAGCCATGGGGAGGGCACAGCATGGAATCAGTTTGAGAGACACAGTGTCATCCCTCAAGGAGTGGTGGTGTTCTGAGAAGAGGATGCAAAGCCAGATCACCAAAGAGACCAGGCGTGTACCTAAATGAGCGAAACGGATAAGGTGGGAGTTGCAGCAGTCTGCCAATAACATGCCTAGGCTAACGACCCCCAGTATAAGTCACCTTCAGCCATTTGTGGCCTCCAGCTGTGCAAAGCCCAGAGTGGTCAGATTTACGGATTTCTCAACAGGGCCCGTAAGTTGAGATTTTCATATGAAATCTCCCAATATATAATTGATATTAAAAAAGAGTTTTAAAGCAGTGCATGGGTCAAACTAAACCTGTGGACTGGAGATCGTACCCCATTTTAAAAGACAGAAAAGGGTTGGGCTAGGAAGAATCCCGGACCTGGATCCCTTGGCTCGTTTGCACTTGGTTTCTGCACGCCTCCCGCACCTGCATGCCGACGCCTCCCCAAAACTGCTGTGCCGAGGACCATTGTCTATTCCAGCCTCCAAAGTACAGCTTTCCAGGTGGCAGAGGGTCATCTGAAACTTTGCCAGTGGAATAATTGCATATTCAGTCCTCTAGAAGCATTTGCCTGCTTAGTGATCGCAGGCTCTGTTCCAGGCACTGGGGCCATAGCAGTAAACCACGCACAGGGACCTTACAGTCTAGGAGGGAATCAGAAAATAAAGACAAATAACACACGCATTATCTAGAGTGGAAGGGAGACAGCAAAGCAGGAGGGGGAATTTTACGTGGAATGGCCGGGGAGTCCTCCCTGAGTACCTACTGTTGCAGCAGTGAGTTGTCCCGAGTCATTCGTCCGCTCGTCGGCTCCTCCACCACCCTGTTACTCTCAGTTCAGGCTGAGAGGTTAGCTAATTTGCCTAAAGGTACCCTAACTGGGGACAGGTGAGTTCCAAATCCAGGCAGTGTGGTTTGAGTCCAGGCTCTTTACCACCCTGCACCTCCATTCCTCAGGCCTGAGCAGGGCAGTGGCAGTGTGAGGGAGGGGAAGGAATGAGTCCTGCTGTCAAGTATACATATTGGTGGGTTATTCACACCAGCCCCCCCCCCCCCAGGGGCTCACCTGCTGCTATTAGAACATAAATGCTTAGCAAGATGATTATTTTTTACTGTTTAATTTGTGTGTGTGTGTGTGTGTGTGTGTGTGTGTGTGTGTGTGAGAGAGAGAGATATTTCCCTCTTTTCCCTGACTAGATTTAAAGCTCCCGATGTGAAGGAACTTTTTTTTGTTTTGCTTTTATCCCCTCCAGCAGCAAGCCTAGGATGTTGATAGCAATAGCTGCACAAATGATGCTGGCTGGACAGAGATATGAGAATAAAGGACTTTGACCCTTGGGACCAAGGTCATGTAGAGGAGGAAAGTAATTCTTTTTTCCTCTGCCTCTCTTGGGTTCATTGGCTGGAACCCTGCAGATTAGACTGACAAAAGACTAATTAACAAGAAAAATAAACAAGTTTATTAACATGTCCATCATGCATACACATGGCAGGACTCAGTGATGAGTAACTCAAAGGGATGGTTAGAACTTGGGCTCATATAGCGTCTTAGTGAAAGAACAATAACTTTTTAGAGAAGTGACAAGACAAAGGAAAAGGATTTTGAGTTTCTAGGACAGCAAATTGTGGGAAGGTAAATATATGGGGGAACTAATGGAAGATGGGGGCTAGTTAGGTAAGATTCCTCTGGGGCCCGTCTCTAGGCTCATAAGGGTCTAGAGTTGTCTGGTGATTAACTTCTATTCCCCCTGGTAGAGAGGGGATGGGGAACACCTCTACAAATTTATGGTCTGCTTTTAGAGCTTCTCTTGTGTCTGCTTTTTTTTTTTGGTGAGGAAGATCGTCCCTGAGCTAATGTCTGTGCCAGTCTTCCTCTATTTTGTATATGGGATGCCACCACAGCATGGCTAGATGAGCAGTGTGTAGGTCTGTGCCCGGGATCCAAATCCACAAATCCCGGGCCACCAAAGCAGTGTGTGTGAACTTAACCACTATGCCACTGGGCTGGCCCCTCTTGTGTTTGCTTCTTAATTGCCTTCAGCTCAAAGTAATCCTGATGCCAAAGTGGCATATTTTGGAGTGGCATACTTTGCTACCCTTCCTTTACAGTCCAAAGTAGGGTCTAGAAATCTCCAGCTCCCTCGGGGAAGCCTTTTTTTTTTTTTATTGAGTTATTGATAGGTTACAATCTTGTGAAATTTCAATTGTACATTAATGTTTGTCAGTCATGTTGCAGGTGCACCACTTCACCCTTTGTGCCCACCCCCCACCCCACCTTTCCCCTGGTATCCACTAAACTGTTCTTGGTCCATAATTTTAAATTCCTCATATGAGTCGAGTCATACACAGATTATCCTTCTCTCGCTGGCTTATTTCACTTAACATAATTCTCTCAAGGTCCATCCATGTTATTGCAAATGGAATGATTTTGTTCTGTTTTGCAGCTGAGTAGTATTCCATTGTATATATGTACCACATCTTCTTTATCCATTCGTCTGTTGCTGGACCCTTAGGTTGCTTCCACGTCTTGGCTATTGTAAACAGTGCTGCAATAAACATTGGGGTGCACAGGACTTTTGGGATTGCTGACTTCAAGCTCTTGGGATAAATACCCAGTAGTGGGATGGCTGGATCGTATGGTAGTTCTATTTTTAGTTTTTTGAGGAATCTCCATACTGTTTTCCATAGTGGCTGCACCAGTTTGCATTTCCACCAGCAGTGTATGAGGGTTCCTTTTTCTCCGCAACCTCTCCAACATTTGTTGCTATTAGTTTTAGATATTTTTGTCATTCTAACGGGTGTAAGGTGATATCTTAGTGTAGTTTTGATTTGCATTTCTCGGGGAAGCCTTTTGATCCCCACTGTGAGCAAGGTGGACTCCTGGATGAGCAGGGGTGTGTTTTGTGTTTAAGGCATTTGTGGCGTTCAGGGATGTGGCCGTGGACTTCACCCAGGAGGAGTGGAGGTTGTTGAGCCCTGCTCAGAGGACCCTGCACAGGGAAGTGATGCTGGAGACCTACAGCCACCTGGTCTCACTGGGTAAGGATGGCTTCCCTTAGCGCTTAAAATCCGCCCACAGGGTATTTTCTACATGTTACAAGGAAAGGCTGCCCACCAAGCAGCTTTGTCTTAGTGTTGGGCTTAAAAACAATAATTTACCTTTTTCCTCGGGTTAAATCAGGATTTAGTGTAGTGAAAGGAGGTAGATTTATTCATGTTGTGTATGACACTCTGCATTTTCAGGCCTCTTTCCCAAGGCTGGGGCTCTCTATTTTAGCTTGCTCCAAACCCAGGAGATTGTCATTGACCAAGTGTTAATGTGCAGTTTTTCTGATTGGACTCCCCTTTTCTTACTCAACCCTCCTAGAGAGTTCACTATTCATAGGTCTTTTGTACCACCCTCTGGGTTTCCCTCCCCATTTTGGCTCTGAGTTCTGGAATGGCCCCTTGAGCCATAACCTAGAGTTCCCTTGTTTTCTTTCCCTATGAGCAGAAATTCCACTTTCCAAACCAAAACTCATTTCTCAGCTGGAGCAAGGGGACGAGCCCTGGATAGAGGAGAGACAATGTCGGCTGGGCCTCTGTCCAGGTGAGTGTGACACGGGGCGGACGGGACTTTGCAGCTTGGCACACAGGGAAGGAGGAGGCATCTCTTGGGTCCTGGGAGGAAGCTCTTCTTCAGGCCTTCCTGGGCCCCAGTAAGGCTGCCTGGCGTGACCTCCCTTCCAGAATATCATCTCCAGGTGAGGGAGGGGCCTTCCCGGTTTCCTTGTCTCTCTGCTCCACCTGGGAGCCTCCCTTCCTCTCACTTGGCTTGCCTTCTCCATCATGCTTGGTCGTTCCTCACTTACGGGCTTTCTCTCCTCTTAATCTTAAAAACTGCACCTACCCCATGAGCATTAGACACTTTCCATTTTCTCTTCGGCTAAGCGTAGTTTGATTATCTCCACCTTTCTAATTCCTATAATTAAAAAATTTATTACTCAATAATTAAGATTACAGAAAGCTATGAATAATAAGAAAATGCATACTCATGTACCAACATCCCAGCTTAAAAAATAAAACATTACCTAAACAGTCGAAGCTTCCGTCTCCTCTTCCCAGACTCTATCTGAAACCTCCCCACCTCCCTGCCCAAAGGGACTGTTTTTCAAAACTAGGGATCTATAATTCCCATTCATGGCTTTTTGCTTTAGTTCATAAATCCCTCAACTATCTATAGTGTTGTTTGGCATATTTTTAAACTGTATATCAGTGTCATCATACCATGTGTATCTTTCTGTAGTTTGCTCTCCACTGACACTAAGTTTGTAAGATTTATTCATGTTGATATATGTTGTATAGCATTTATTGTATGATATACATACCTATAATATAGTTCATTTATCCATTCTATTTTGTTGGACATGGATGTTTTTACCAGTTTTGGCTATTAAAGAATGCAGCTGTGAACATTCTCACACCTGTGCCCTTAGGTATGTCAGCACCTGTTTCTCTAAGCTACATACCTAAGAGTAGAGTAGCTGAGTCCAAGAGCGCGTACTTGTTCAGTCTGACTAGGTAATGCCAAAGTGTTCCCCGCAGTCGCCACATTAGTTTGTTAGGGCCGCTGCAACGAAGACTCTAGTTTTTGACCATCTTTTGGGGGTGAAATGCCTCTCACAGTAGTTTTAATTTGATTGGCATTGAGCTTGAGCGTCTTTTGATATGTTCGTAGGTTGACTGGCATTGATGTTTCCTCTCCTATGAATTGCCTGTTCAAACCTTTTCCCGGCTTTTCTTTTTCTTGTTCATTTGCAGAAATTTTTCAACAAGTCTTGGGAATGAATTCTTTGTCAGTTACATGCGTTATGTCTTTCTTCTGCCAGTCTGTGATCTATTTGCTCTTTAAAAAGTTGTTTAACTTTGAAGTAATTTGTCTCAATTTGTAAAAATAGTGTAGAAAGTTCCCATCTATTCTTCCCGCAGCTTTCTCCAATTACATCTTATATAAGCATAGCACCTTTCAAAACCAGGCAGTTGACATTGGTACAGTGCTATTAAGTAAACTACAGACCTCATTCGGATTCAGATTTCATCAGTTTTTACGTGTGCTTCGTTGTTGTTGTTCTATAGTACTATGAAATTTTGTCACATACGTAGACTCGTGTAACCACCACCACCACATTAAGCGTACGGAGTGTTCCATCACTGCACAGAAAATCCTTCCTGCTGTCCTCCCCCCAACCTTAACCCCTGGCAACCACTGATCTGTTTCCCGTCAGTAAAAGTTTTTTATTTCAAGAGTGTTATAAAAGTTGCCCACTGTGTAAATGGCCTTTCATAGTAATTTTATAAATTTTAATGTTGGGGTTGGATTTGTCAATCTTTTTTTGTATGGTGTTTTTGCGTGTGTGTCTGATTTAAGAATTCCTTTCGTCAAGATCATAAAGACATTATTTAGATTTTCTTCTATAAATTCAAAAATATTTTGCTTTTTACACTTAGGTCTTTAATCTCTCTGGAATGGATTTTGTTAAGTCTTGGGAGATATGGATCTAGTTTTATATATTTCTAAATGCATAGCCATCAGATTTGGTACCATTCATTGAATAATTCCTCATTTTCCTAAAATGACACTTCTCTCATATTTTGGATTTCAGTACACGCACGGATTAATTTCTGGCCTCTCTGTTCTGTTCCATTGTTGTGTTTGCGTACCCTTGCACCAATGTCACACAGTTTTAATTTACCACAGCTTTACAATGTCTTCCTGTCTGGCAGGTCAAGTCCTCTCATTTTTTTCTTCACGATGTCTTAGTTAGTTGTAGCCCACTGATGTTTTACAATCAGCTTGTCAGATTTCATAAAATAGCCTATCAGGATTTTGTGGTAATTACATTGAATTTATTAATTAATATACATATATTGATATTTTAATTAATTTGAAGAGCACTGACATCTTTTACGGCATTGTCTTTCTGTTATATGGTGTCTGCTCTCACTTATTTATTAATGCGTCTCCATTACTAACAGAACTTCATTACTTACAAAACTTTTGCTAAGTTTTATAATTTTCTGTAAATGTACATTTTTCTTTAAATTTATACATAGGCTTATTTTTTGTTGTTTTGAGTTATATTTTTAAAAGCTAAATGTGTATAACTGTTTTTCATTGACATGTATAACTAAAATGTCCCACTATAACGATCGTCTATGGTATATCCAGCAGCATGGCTGAATGGTTTTATTAATCCAATGGTTTGTCTTACTCTTTGGTGTTTAATTTCTAGTTCTTTGGTGTTTATCATATAATTTATGATTCTGTCTTTAATGTTTCATACGTAGAATACTATTTCATCTATATATTTTTGCCTTCCCTTTTTTCTTTCTCACTCTTGTCAAAAGTCTGTTAAACTTATTAATCTTTTCAAAAAGCAACTTTTGGCTTTGTTGATCATGTCTATTGTATGTATTGTGACTGAACTTATATTTAATATTCCCTTCCTCTTCTTACTTTGGGCTTATTTTGCTATTCTTTTGCTAATTTTTTGAGATGAATGTTTAACAGTATTACTTGTCAGCCTTCTGTCTTTTTTCATATGAGGATTTAAGACTCTAAATTTCCTTCTATTCTTAACTCATACCTGCAGCTTCTGTTGCAGCTCTGAATCCTCTCTGGCACCTTGACCCAGTCAGGATATGCCGTTTCAGCACTATTTTTCCACTGCTGTAGTTGTGTGTGTTGGGAGTGCTCTTGGGCAAGAGAGTCACAAATGAAATTCTTATCCCTTCCCATTGTTTGTTTGTTGCTGCTGAGGAAGATTAGTCCTGAGCTAACATCTGTTGCCAATCTTCCTCTTTTTTTGCTTGAGGAAGATTGGCCCTGAGCTAACATCTGTGCCAGTCTTCCTCTATTTCATATGTGGGTTGCCGCCACAGCATGGCTGACGAGTGGTGTAGGTCCGCACCTAGGATCCAAACCTGCGAACCCAGGCCGCCAAAGCGGAGTGCACCAAGCTTAACCACTAGGCCATGGGGCTGGCCCCTCCATTGCACTTTTTTGAACATAAACTCTCTCCTCCCACCAGCCTCTGGTTGCTTTTGAGTGTTTCTCAGTGCCTTTAAATAGCTGTTTGTTGTATTTTATCCAGTTTTATTATTGTTTTCTGCCGGGATTCTTGTGACCAATTCAGTCTGCTGCCATTTTCAGAAGTAGGCTTCATCCTTTTATTTTTGACTCGATATTTGGAAATTATTTCAAAATTACAGAAAATTTTCAAAAATAAAAATAAAGAACACCTTTATATCCTCTGCACACACACACACGTGTATATACGTGTGTGTAAATATATATGGCATGTGATTATTATAAAATGGCATCATGAAATCACCTGCTAATATTTTACCCAATTTGCTTCATCATTTGCTTGTGTTCTCCTGTGTGCATGCTCTCTCTTCTCTTTCCCTCTCTCAATATGTACGTGTATATATTTATGTATATGTTTATGTATATATATGTGTGTGTATACGTAGGTTCATATGTGGATGTTTGTTAAAAGGTTTTCTAAGAATGGCGATAATCTCTCATGTGACCGTAGTACAGTAATCAATCTCAGTAAATTTAACTTTGATACAGTAATTTTATCTAATAATACCTCATATTATAATTTTGTCGGTAGACAGAATAATATCTTTTTTCCTCTCTAGAACGTGATCCAGTCCAGGTTTAGGTGGTGCATTTACATGTCGTGTCTGTTTAGTCTCCCTCAATGTAGGCCATTTCCATAACCTTCCTTTGTCTTCTATGACATTGACATTTTAGAAGTATAAAGTTCCACAGGTGCTGCTTTTTTAACAACTTCTTTGAGGTGTGATTTGTATACTATGAAATCTACTTATTTTCAGTGGTAGTTCATTTATTTTTAGTAAACTTTTAGAGTTGTATGATCATCACTTCCATCCAACTGTAGAACATTCCGTCACTCCAGAAAGTTCCCTTGTGCCCATTTGCATCTATCCCTCCTCCCATCTGAGCTCCAGGAAACCACTGATCTGCTGGCTGTATAGATTTGCTGTTTCTGGACATTTTATATAAATGGTATCATAAATATATAATCTTTTGTAACTGGCTTCCTTCATTTAGCGGAATGTTTCCGAGGTTCATCCATGTTGCCATGTGTATCAGTAATTCATTCCTTTTTATTGCAATATGATATTTTATGTATGGATATGCATTTTGGTTGCGCATTCACAGGTTGATAGATGTTTGGACAGTGTCCACTTTTTGGCTCTTGTGAGTAGTGCTAAGAATAGTCATGTACCAGTCTTGATGTGGACATATGTTTTCATTTCTCTTGGGTAGTTAATTTCTGGATTTTATGATATGTTTAACCTTTTAAGAAACTACAAAATTGTTTTCCAAAGTGGCTGTATGTTTCTTTTTTTTAAGATTTTTCTTTTTCCTTTTTCTCCAAAAGCCCCTCGGTACATAGTTGTGTATTTTCGGTTGTGGTCCTTCTAGTTGTGGCATGTGGGACGCCGCCTCAGCGTGGTTTTATGAGCGGTGTCATGTCCACGCCCAGGATTCGAACCCGCGAAACCCTGGGCCACTGAAACAGAGCGTGTGAACTTAACCACTCGGCCACGGGGCTGGCCCCTTGTATGTTTCTATTTTACATTTCTATTTTCTATTTTTGCATTTTCTGTTACCACTGTATTAGGGTTTAATTTTCTCTGCATCCTTGACAACCCTTGTCATCGTCTCTAATTTTGATTATAGACATCCTACTGGGTGTGTAGCAGTATTCCATTGTGGTTTTAATTTACGTTTCCCTAATGACTAGTGATGTTGAGCTTTTTAGGTGCTTATTAACCATTTGCATATCTTCTTTGGTGGAATAGCTATTCAATTCTTTTGCCCATTTTTAAATTGAACTGTTTGTCTTCTTTTTGAGTTGTAAGAGTTTTTCATATATTCTAGACAGAAGTCCTATATCAGATATAGGATTTTCACATATTTTTAACTCTATGAAGTGAAGTTTCAGAAAAGAGACAAGTCTGTAGCTTGTCTTTTCATTCTCTTAATAGTGTCTTTTCAAGCATAAAAGTTTTAAATTTTGATGATATACAATTTAACAATTTTTTTAATGGGCTGTGCTTTTGGTGGTGTAACTAAGAACTTTTTGCTTAGCCAGGGTTATGAAGATTTTCATCTAGAAGTTTTATACTTTTAGCTTTTACATTTAGAGCTGTGATCCATGTTGAGTTAATTTTTGTGTATCGTATGAGACGAAAGTCTAAATTCGTTTTCTTGCATATGAATATTCAATTGTCCTGGCACTGTTTGTTAAAAATAGAATGCTTTCCCCCATTGAATTGTCTTGGCATCTTTGCAGAAAATCAGTTAAAAAAATTTTTAAGTGTACTATTTTAATTCTCTTGATTTTTTAATTCTTCTTCTTTTTTTTTAGAGTTATTTTCTTACCACTGCTCTAGGAATTAAAATATGCATCTTAATTTATCACAATCTACTTCTAATTAGTAAGATAATTATATATATATGTTATAAAGCCCACAGTATAGTGTTATAGTTATTGCTTTTTGTAATAATCTTATGCATTTTAGAGAAATTAAGAAAATAAAAGAGAAAAATATACATATGTTGTCTTATGTATTTACCAGTTTCAGTAGTCCTCATTTCTTCCTGTGGATTTGAATTAGTGTCTGATGTCATTTCTTGTCAGCCTGAAGGACTTGTTTATTATTTCATGTTAGCAATGGATACTCTGAGTACTTGTTACTCTGTGAATATCTTTATATCAGTTTCATTTTTGAAGGATAGTTTTGTGAGATTAGAATTCTTCATTCATAGTTTTTTTGCCTTTATTTCAGCACTTTAACTATGTCATTCCACTGCCTTCTGGTCTCCATTGTCTCTGATGAGAAGTTAGCACTAATCATATTGTTTTCACCCTAAATGTGTGGAGTCATTTTTCCTTTACTGCCTTCAAGATTTTCTGTTTGTCTTTTTTTCTGATGGTCAACAGTATGATGTGTCTAACTAGGGATCTCTATGTTTATCTTGGGGATTGTTGAGCTTCTTGGACCTGTAGATTAATGTTTTTCATCAAATTTCGGACTTTTTAGCCACTATTTCTTCAGGTATTTTTCTGCTCTTTTCACTCTGTCTTCTCCTTCCTGAGTTCCCATTACACGTGAGTTGGTTTGCCTGATGGTGTCCCACAGGTTTCTGGGGCTCTTTGTTTTTCTTCAATCTTTCACGCTGTCCTTCAGTTTAGGTAATTTCTATTGATCTTTCTTCAGCTTCACTGGTTCTGTTACAAACTCAAATGTGCTATTCTAGCTCTCTGGTAACGCTGTAACTTCAGTTATTTTACTTTTTAATTCCAGAATTTCTTTTTTGTTTCCTTTTAATAGTTTCTATTCTTTATTGAAATTCTTTATTTTTTAAGTTATCCTACTTTCCTTTAATTTTTTACACATTGTTTTCTTTACTTCTTTGAATACATTCCTAGTATCGGCTTTGAAGTCTCCCCCCCCACCACCACCACTCCAGTAAATCAACATTGGGATTCACTCAGCAACAGTTTCTATGGCTGCATTTTTTCCTGAGTGTGAGTCACTCTTTCCTGTTTCTTTGAAAACAAGATATTTTAGATATTATATTGTAGCCCTTCTAGTATCTGATTGTATTTCCTGCCTGTGTATTGTTGTTGTGATCTTTGTTTAGTAACTTTTTTAGACTAAATATGTGGAATATATTTCCTCTGTGAAGATGATGTTTCTCCTTGATTTTTTATTTTATTCTTCTGTTTGTATTTAATCCTGGCTTCCTAGATTTCAACCTTGTATCTGCAGAGCTTAGTGGTCTGCAAAAATTGGCTATAGGTTATATTCAAATACTTTGAGCCAGTAAGGCTTCCTACCTTTGCCAATGGATAAGTGCATGAGCTGGGGAGTGCATTCAATGTTCCAGTAGTTTTCAAGTCTTTTCTGGCCTTTTACTTTCCAGTTATCCCTCTCATTTTTCCTCTGGACCTGGTTGCAGCCTCTCTGTCAGGCAGGGGTATGTGCAGAGCTTGGGCCCCCAGAAGTCTTTCCTGCTTTTGCCAACAGCCTTCCAGTCAGCTAGGGTTGGGTGGGGAGCTTATCAAGCCCCTCTCTGGCTCTCTCACTTGCAGGCTGTCCCTGCTGCATTGCTGGATAGTCTGACAGTCTTTTTTTTTTTTTTTTGTCACAACCAAGACTTCAATCTCAGATAGCAGTCACTGGCCTTCCCTGTTCGTTTACTGCCTAGATCACTGCATTTATTGACAGTCCCACTGGGCATTGGAACTTCCACCCCAAATCAAGTGAGCCCCCTCCCGCAGCAGCAAAACTGATCCTTTCTGGCCTGCCCTGGTATAGCTACCATACCACCCACGCTAGGGGATTAGAAGGGTGAGAGCGGCTCCAGGCAATAATGCCACAGACTCCCACTCTTCTTAACTGAAGTTCACTGTTTTTCATGAATAAACACGTCTCAATTTATTGTCTGTTTTTGGTTCATTTCTAGAACCCCTGAAACTTTTTAATCTGTTGGGTAATGTGAAAATACGTCCTTGGTGTGAGTTTTCTACATTTCAATAGGACAAGGGTCAACAAACTTTTTCTATAAAGGGCCGCATAGTAAATATTTTAAGCTTTCCAGGCCACATACAGTCTGTTGCCTTGTCTCCTTTCTTTCTTTTTATTTCAACCCTTTAAAAAGGTGAAAACCGTTTTTAGCTGGCAGGCCATAGAAAAGCAGGTTGCAGGCTCGATTTGGTCCACTGAGCATGTTTGCTAACTCCTGCAATTAGAAAACATAACGCATCAAGTGAAATGAAAAATAGATCTTGAGAAGGATGGCTGGATGGGAAACAGCTTGTGAGGTAAACATATTATGAATGACCAATGGGCAAAGCAAAATGGCCTGGCAGCCCTACCTATGACTACTCTGACTAAAAACATTCTTTCTTCAGCAGGATCAAAGCTAGAAATTCAGCCTTGTCCCTCCTGCCCTCTGGCATTCTCTAGTCGGCAAGCCCTCAGCCAACATGTGTGGCTCAGTCATCTCCCTCAGCTGTTGTCAAGTTTATGTGCAGGAAATCCTCTCCATCCAGGGACACACTATCCAGAAGATCAGAACCAGCAGCAGGAGCAACTCTCTGATTCAACCTGCTCGAGCAACAAAGCAGAAATCCAAGAGAGAGAAGACGACTCCAAGCCTTTGTTTGGGAGAGGAAGCACAAGCAGCGTTTCGAAGGCGTTCTCCAGCCCACGAGAAGAGCAGCCAGTAAGGTCCAAGGAAGACAGCAGAGAGGTGGATATAGGGCCCTGCCCAGCCCAGAGGACAGACTTTGAGGAAACAGACAGAGTATTGCATGGTTTAGAAGTCTCAGGATTTGGAACAATCAAATATAGAGAGTTTGGGCTAGGCTTTATCAAGGAGTCAAACCTGCTCAGCCTCCAGAAGACACACACAGGGGAGATACCTCGAATGTACAGTGAGTGGGGACAAAGCTTTAGCAATATGTCAGTCCTCACCAAAAACCAGAGTATGCGCTCTGGAGAAAAGCCTTATGTGTGCGGGGAGTGTGGACGAGGCTTTACCTGGAAGTCAAACCTCGTCACACACCAGAGGACACACTCAGGGGAGAAACCTTATGTGTGCAAGGAGTGTGGGCGAGGCTTTACCTGGAAATCAAATCTCTTCACACATCAGAGGACACACTCAGGGGTCAGGCCTTATGTGTGCAAGGAATGTGGGCAGAGCTTTAGCCTGAAGTCAAACCTCATCACACACCAGCGGGCACACTCTGGGGAGAAGCCTTATGTGTGCAGGGAGTGTGGGCGAGGCTTTCGCCAGCATTCACACCTCATCAGACACAAGAGGACGCATTCAGGAGAGAAGCCGTATGTGTGCAGGGAGTGTGAGCAAGGCTTTAGCCAGAAGTCACACCTCATTAGACACTTAAGGACACACACAGGAGAGAAGCCTTATGTATGCACAGAATGTGGGCGTCACTTCAGCTGGAAATCAAACCTCAAGACACACCAGAGGACACACTCAGGGGTTAGACCTTACACGTGCCTGGAGTGCGGGCAGCGCTTTAGCCTGAAGTCAAACCTTAACAAGCACCAGAGGTCACACACAGGGGAGAAGCCATTTGTGTGCAGGGAATGCGGGCGAGGCTTTACCCGGAAATCAACCCTCATCACACACCAGAGGACACACTCAGGGGAGAAGCCGTTTGTCTGTGTGGAGTGTGGGCGGGGTTTTAATGATAAGTCAACCCTCATCTCACACCAGAGGACACATTCAGGGGAAAAGCCTTTCATATGCAGGGAGTGTGGTAGAAGGTTCGGCCAGAAGCCAAACCTCTTTAGGCACAAGAGGGCGCACGCAGGTATCCCCTTTGTGTGCAGAGAGTGTGGGCAAGGCTTTTGTGATAAGTTAACGCTCATTACACACCAGAGGGCACACTCGGGGGGGAAGTCTCATGTGTGCAGGGAGTGTGGGCAGGGCTTTAGCCGGCAGTCACACCTTGCTAGACACCAGAGGATCCATTCAGGAGAGAAGCCTTATACTTGCAGGAAGTGTGGGCGAGGCTTCAGTCGGAAATCAAACCTCATCAGACATCAGAGGACACACAGGATCGAAACCTCGTGTGTCCAAGGAGTGTAGTGAGACCTTTAGGCAAGAGTCACACTTCATGAGACACCAGAGGTCACTCTCAGGGCCGTGGCTTTAGTAATAAGTCCGCCATTGCCAGACACCAAAGTGGAGACGTCTTATGTGTGATGGGGGTGTTCACGAGGCTGTTAATGGTTAAGAGTCAACATCTGCAATCCGCCTGAAGGAGAATTGCTGTTGCGTTTTCAGGAGCTTTCGGTTCCCTGGTGGGGCTGGTGGTTGTGGAAGGTCTCAGGTAACTTGAGGAAGGGACTACTTCCAAAGAGGTTGAAATTAGGGAACAGACTGTTCCAGTGTCATTCCCCAAGTACACCGGAATAGTCCTTCCACAGTAACCCGGATGTTACAGAAACAACAATACTGGAGCTTGTCTCTAGTGTCCGGCTGACCTTCTGAGGACAGGAGGCTTGACAGAAACCATGACTGATTTAATCTTGCTTCTCCAGAGCATGGCCCAGCAGAGTCAGCTTCAGGGAGAGTTCTGGAAATGGTGAACTCGTGGGGACAGAGAGAGTACGTGGGTAGAAGATTTTATTATACAAAGGCTGACAGGTAAGAAAGGCTGTAACTATCCTAGCTCTAGGTTTGGGGAAGAGGTGTCCATTTTGGGGAATACCGTACCTTTGCTTGCTTCCTGGGGCTTTCTCTGGTTTCCAGGTTGAATCCATACTGAAGATAATTTTATTGACCGATATATTTAGACTAGAAATGCATTATATGCTTTTATGAAGAAAACACACACTCAAATACAGAAATAGAAAATGAAATTACTTTCTATTTTTCTTTGAATTACGATACGGTATCCCAGAGGTAATCCTTTAGTTTAAGTCTTTCTAACCATTGCAAAATATACTATTTTTCTGGTTGGGAATGCTCTCTTTTTGAAAATGGCAGTGTTTCACAAATTATCACCCTGGGCCAAGTCCCAGTTTTTTTTATGGAACTTGACTGAATGATTCTGAAATTTATTTGGAAAATAAAATTTTCAAGAATGGGCAGAAAAATAAAGGAACTGTGTACAATATTATGTCTTTTTACCTGTGTACAGGTATTTAGAATAGACCTTTAGAACCATATAAAAATAGAGAAAAAACCTCATTTATATATGAGTATTCAGAAAGTGATGAAGCAGGATTTCAAGTTAGTGTGAAAATGGCAAGGACAAGTTTCAGTGTTTGTCACTGGCTCTCAATTTAGGGAAAAAATAAACATAGGTCCCACAGTTTCAGTATCCAAAGGAGTTAGCGTTAGGGAATCACTCTCTCAAATAAAATGAGGTATAACAGGAGTCTTAATTTTTGTTCAAGATCTAAGTTTGAGTGGAGTGAGCAGAACTTGGTGAAAAATGATGAAATCTTACCCTGGACGGAACAGTTGGCCAGGTCTGCCCTTCTCTCCCTCCCCATAGGAATTCCTGATCTCATGTTCTTACTCCCTCTCAATAGGAAACTACCCTTTGGGTTTTGATCTCTTTGAGTCTTAGAATTTAACTATTCTTTTCCATAAAATCATGTCACAAAAGTAAGGATTCCAAAATTAAACATATATCATACACTGTTTTTTAACTTTCAGAAGCAATACTTCATTTTTCAAGATAATTGGCCCATAAAACTAAAAGATTTTGCCTTAAATTGCTTAAAATTCTCAACAAGAAAAAAATAGAACACTGCTGGTATGTGAAGACTCCAGTAGATTCAAAGAGATCCAAATCCTGGGAGACAGTTTCTGTGGAGAAGCAGCCAAACAGAGAAAGCTGGAAATGTTCTGAGGAAGGGATAGAAAGAAGCCCCACACTTTGGCCCTGCCCAGGCCGCCTCTACTGATTCTTCTTTTTTTGGTTTTTGCTGAGGAAGACTCGCCCTGAGCTAACATCTATTGCCAATCGTTCTCTTTTTTTTGTTTGTTTGAGGAAGATTAGCCCTGAGCTAACATCTGTGCTAACCTTCCTGTATGTGGGACACCGCCACAGCGTGGCTGGTGAGTGGAGTAGCTCCGTGCCTGGGATCTGAACCCACAAAGCCAGGCCACAAAGCAGAGCATGAGGAACTTTAACCACTCAGCCACGTGGCTGGGCCCACACCTCTGCTGACTCTTAAACCCACATCAGTCCCTCTGCTTAGAACCTCTCAGAAGAGACAGAATTGGGACAGGTGACCTGAGCTGTTCACCTGGGCCTGGCATGAAAATCTGTGTGCAAATGTGGAAGCTGATTAGGAGGCAAGTACCATGGAGTATTCAAATACGTGAATCTTCTCAGTCTTGTGTTTTAATTGTTTTCCAGTCCCTGTCTGGATTAGCCATCCACTAGTGCCCATATTTCATATCCTGAGGTGACAGCTCTAGATGTCTAAAAAAACAGAAAAAGTGCCCCAGAGCAGCTACTGCCCAGTCCTACCACTTCCATGGTAAATAGACTGTACCGCGTGGAGCACATTTTGAAGAAAAGATGATAAACAGTATGAAACAATGAATATTGCTTCACACCCATAAACCTGTTATGATCACCATTGAAATGTTCTATTTTAAAATGAGTGGCAGTAAGTTTTAATATAACTATTTCATTTAATTCTATTTTAAATTATTATTATGGAACAGTGGTTCTCTAAGTGTGGTCAGAGGGTGTCTGAGGGTCCTTTCAGGCAATCTGCATGGTTAAAACCAATTTCATAATAACACTGAGGCATTATTTGCTTTTTTCCTGTTGTGCTGATATTTGCACAGACGGTGCAGAATTAATGGTAGATAAAACTGCTGGCCCTTTAGCGTGAATCAAAGTAGTGTCACCAAGCCGTACAACTAGTTATTGTATTCTTTACCACCGCATACTTGTAAGAAGTGCCAGTTCCACTTAAGAATGGTCTTCAGAAAACAGTAAAAATTAATTTAGTTAAATCTTGACCCTTGAGTACAAATTTTTTAATTATGCGTTTAATTTTGAGATAATTGTGGATTCATTTGCAATTGTAAGAAATTATATAGAGAGATCCCATGTACTCTGCTCAGTTTACCCCAGTGGTAACATCTTGGAAAACTATAGTATCACAACCAAGATATTAAAATTGATATTTGCACATCTTTTAAATATTTTATGTGATGAAAAAAGAAATATGCATAGAACCCTTCTTCATGCTGAAGTATGAGGTTGTTTCAAAGAAATGCTCTTCTCTGACACCAATTTTATTTGAAATTATAACTGACAAATTCTTATTTGAAAGAATAACTGACAAATTTCAAATAAGATGATTCAGATTTGGATATTTGGTAGACATTTTGTCAAGAATGAAGTGATTTTTGAAAACACAGTAATTTTTGTTAATTTGACTCTCAAGGAAAAAATTAGAGTATTGAAAAACAAATACCTGCCATGCTGAACTTGACAACTTCCTAATACTTAGTCCTTTATGATGAGATTAATAAATGTGATTTTATAATACCATATGATGAAATATGTCAGTATTTGGAAGATCTGCCTAGTTCATTGAACCAATATTTTCCAAATGATTAGTGCATGATGCTGCAAAATCATTCGTGAGTATGTTAAAGTATAAGATAGACAAATGGATTTTAATTTAAAGAGATAAAGGCCAGATTCTGCATTACAAGAAACCTTTAAGAAATTACCATTTGTTGATTTTTAGTGTAGTATCAAAGAATAATATGACAAGTATCTGAAAAGTCCATTAGAATACTCCTCCATTTTCTAACTCTATATCTGTGTGAGGCCAGATTTTCTTTATTTATCTCAACAGATTGAATGCAGGAGCACATATAAAATACCAGCTATCTTCTATTAAACCAGACGTTAAAGAGATTTGAAAAAATAGGAAATAGTGCCACTCTTCTCACTGATTTGTTTCTTTGGTAGAAGATATTCAAACCCAAGTGAAAGCGAAACGCCTTACTTTTCACCTTTAAGTGTGTTGTTTCTAGATGTTTATGGTCTGTATTCCACAGTGAAAAACACTGCACACATACACCACCAGGAAAAACTTGGTACATGTCATAATACCTAACATACAATTAACAGCTATGCTTTATATAATTTAAACTAGGCATAGAAGAAAATTACCAAGTGAAACAAATACGAAGAAAATGCTTGTTAACACCCACTGACAGATATAAATTACAATCCGAAGTATACTGCTCTATCTAGAAAAAACACAGAAATCTTGGGGCATGTTTACTTTTACAACTAAATTATATAATTGCTTAATCTCCTCCATGCTTGTGGCTATGTCTCTTTCTGAATATTCTTGCTAAATATTTTTTCTATTTATTAATCAAACAAGCAGCTTTATGGTTTTAGTCATCTCTTCAGTGTGTCTTTTTATTTCATATTTTGTTAATTTATGTTGATATTTACTAATCTCAAGGTAATTTCTTTTTTATTGTATTGCTGTGGCAAGCTTATTTAATCATAATTCAGTTCATTTATCTTCTTCCTTTTACTCTTCTCCTGAAAGTCAATTCATTTCTAAGTGGCCTTTAATTTTCATTTTTATTTTCTCTTTTAGACAAGAATTACTGTTTCAAAGACTGCTTATCAATGGCTAGATGGATATATTCATTTTTGCAGTCTCTTAGTATTTATTTTTTTATTTTTTAGCATTGTAGTCAATGTATTTTGTGATTTCTTCTATTTTAATTCACAAAGTTTGGTTTTGAATCTAATCAAGCTCTGTGATTTGTATGTGTATGTAAAGGCAAGTGTTGAATGTGTGAACGTGTGTATACCTCTTTTAACAATATTATACCGAAATTAACACAAAAGGTGGGAAATTTTGATATTTTTCTATATAGTTACCTTATCATTCTCCTGTTGTTTTGTATTAATGATCTCTTTATTTTTATTTATTAATTTATGTTTAACGTGTGTAAAATTAGATCTGTGATAAAAATGAAGATATAAATAATATTAACAGAACAAAGACCATTGTATTCACCCCAACAGAAGAAATAAGCCTTAATTATTTTTAAAAACTTAGTGCTTCCATTTCTGTAAGTGATATAGTAAATAAATTTATGATCATGTTAGGAAACATTTCTCCATGTATTTTTATCAAATTTTGCTTAATACATTTCAAAGCTAAATTATTTAGATCTATAGAAATTAATAACTTTTCTTCATGATGAATTTTCCTTTTTAAAACCTTAGAGCAACCTCAGGTCCCATTCAGTGTTTCTAATTAGTCTGCTCTCAGTTTTGTTACACTTGCCTTTTTTAGTAGTATTTGCTTTTCTCGCTTCTTCATTTTCATTTTGATATTGTTTTGTGAATAGAGTGTCCTATCTAACATAGTACTGAAAGCCATATTTGGAACAATTAGATAAGAAAGAAAAATAAAAGGCATCTAAATTGGAAAGGAAGAAGTAAAACTCTATTTTCAGACAACATCATTCTGTATATAGAAAATACAAGTGCATCCACGAAGAAACTACTGGATCTAATAAACAAATTCAGCAAAGTTATAGAGTACAAGATCACCACACAAAAATCAGTTGTATTTTCATACAACATCAATGAACTATCTGGCAAAGAAATTAAGAAAACCATTCCCTTTGTAATAGCATCAAAAGGAATAAAATGCCTAAGAATAAATTTAACCAAGGAGGTGAAAGACTCATACACTGAAAAATACAAAAATCAAAAAATAAACCTACAAAACTTAAAACTACAAAATTTAAGAAGATCCTAGTAAATGTGAAGACATCCCACGTTCATAGATTGGAAGACAATATTGTGAAGATGTCACTACTACTTAAAGAGATCTACCAATTCATTTCAATCTCTATCAAAATTCTAATGGCCTTTTAGGCTGACATGAAAAGTTGGTCACCATATTTATGGAATTTCAAGGGGCCTTAAGTAGCCAAAACAATATTGAAAAAGAAAAAGTTGGAGGGCTCATACTTCCCAATGTCAGAACTAACTACAAAAGCACAGTAATCGAGAATGTAGGACTGGCATAAGCATAAACACATAGGCCAACAGAACAGAATTGAAAGTCCAGTAATAAACCCAAA